TGTCACTGTAGATCACGACGCGCTTATCACACAAAACCTTGTCCCAGCGGCAAATAGCAAAAAATATTGCACAAAACTCTTTCACGTTTATATGTTCGTTAGCCAAGGGAGGTAAATCCAATTTCCAATTCACATAGAAATAATCACCGTTAAAATAACCTCCCCCGCCGTCCGACGACGCGTCTGTTTGTAATGATGTGACAGGTTTTGGGTCATGAATCGTGCAGCTGCCATTAAAAACGGAGATGAATGAAATCCACCACCCTATGTCCGCGAAAAAATCCGGTGTCAAAAGTATCTTATGAGAATTGGCACAAAGTTTGTCTTTCATATCAATTACTCTCCTCAGGAATGTGCGGCCCCCACTTATTACTTGTGACGCCCAGTTTAATTTACCTATTAATACTTCAAGCTGCTTGCGACTTGCCCTTTTTCGTACCGAAAACTCCCTTAGCACGTCTGAGAAACTCTGAAGCTTGTCATTAGGCAAAGAAAAAGTCATTGTTATTGTATTGACCATTATGCCTAGAAAAATGATCTGTCTTACCGGACCTTCTACTTTGGACCAGTTAATCGCAAAACCCAGCTGTCGCAGCAGCTGTAACAATCTACACATAGCATTGTAACATTCATTATAAGTATTGCCAAACACTAAAAAATCGTCCAAGTAGGCAATTGCTGTGAAACCATATTTACATTTTAATATTCTACATACAGCACTACTGAGTTTTTGAAAAATCTGTGGACTTTTGGATGCCCCAAAAGGCAATTTTGTATCATACATATATGTTGGATTGTCATTTCCATCGAAATGATATTTCAAACCTGTTGCTTTGTAATTCAATGGGTGGATATTTACTGATCTGTAAGCCGACGCTAAATCCACTTTGGCTAAATAGCACCCAGGTGAAATATGTTTGGCTGCCTCCCGGCCGGAGGTCCATATAAGTACACGAACAGTCACTCTTGACATGACTATTTATAGATTTACCAGTAGGGCGACTCGCGTCATGTATTAGTCTGACCTTTGTTTTTGACTTTGGAATAGCCCTCAACGCACTTATTATCACTGGTTTTGTCTCAGTTATCACATAGTTACCGTTTGCTATTTCACTTTGTATCTGATCTTGGACCAGACCAGAAAACTGTTTACAAGAGGCATAGTTTTCTTCCTCCACGGGCACGATGTGTTTCTCTAGACCTTCATCGATAATGCGAAAACCGGTAGCCACGCCCTCTAAAATAAACTCCCTATCAAAGTCATCCGCAGGTAAGAGGGACTGCCAGGCTTCCAATTTCAACTTGTTGCTAGTATGTACATTATTTACAGTGGCCTCATGCTTGGGCTGATCATGATCTATCCCTTTTTTGTATGATGAATCGCACTGTGCTCCGCATAACACACCGAACAGACATGCGCAAGTTTACACGATTTATAATCACACACGTCATTGTTAAATTTCCTGCATATTTCTCGATTGTCCGGAGTAAACGGGCCACGTTTTCTTGGGGTCGACCGTTCCCGACCTTGTCCCTCTCGTTTTGAATTTACCGTCGTACCCTGAAGTACCTGAGCAGTCAGGTTGTTTGGCTTAGGTACAAGTTGAAAGTTCTGTATCGCGGTTTGTGGCGTTCCCCATCGAAAACCTTCACTATGTTAAGTTGGGCCTCCCGATATTCCCGGTCATACAGCATAACACTGCCACACATACTTGCTGAAGAGTCGATTTATCGTTTTTGTATAATCCAGGTAGTCACGGATACCACGAACATCCACCTCGTTTGCCTCGATCATTTCTTCTAAATTTCTGCTATTACCATAGCCCCATTGTTCAACGCTGATTTTGTAGTAATCTTTGTCCACTTTACGGTTTACTTTGACCCCTGATCACTAGATTGAGAAGCATTTTCTTTCCGATGTACATTATCTTCGGTCTCCTCGCTGTCACAATTTTGGAGGAATGTCATTAGTGAGCTTGATCGCTCTCTTAGATTGTAAGCGTTTATCGCGATGTCGCTGGATTTTATATTTATATAAAGCACTGTGAGGCTGCTGCCATTTTGCTCTGCTAATGCTGTTAAAAGACCGGAACTAGCATGGGGAGCTAAGGGAGCTAACTCTAACTGCCTTGGCAAAGGCTAAAGTTGCGTACACCAAAATACAATTTACTAATAAATTTACACTTCAGGTACCTTTTTTTAATTCTGACCCTTTTTGACGAAGTTATGGCCCTTTGTTGAACAAATCCTGGAACTTTTGTCCGGGCAACTCCTTCTAAAGTAATGGACCAATTTCAACGAAACTTTTCAGATATGAAAACTACCACCCCTGATCTTGTGCATTCAGGTACCTTTTTTTAATTCTGACCCTTTTTGACGAAGTTATGGCTCTTTGTTGAACAGATCCTGAAACCTTTTGTCCGGACTACTCCTTTTAAAGTTATGGATCGATCGAAACTTTCCAGATATGATAACTACCATCTGAAGTTGAGCATCCAGGTATTCTTTTTTCATTCTGACCTTTTTTTTTTACAAAGTAATGGCCCTTTGTTGAAAAATCCTTGTCGGGACAACTCCTCCAAAACTACGGAGCTTAATTTCAACGAAACTTTCCAGATATGATAACTACTACCTGATATTGTGCATCCAGGTATTATTTTTTCATACTCACTTTTGTTTACGGAGTAATTGTCCTTTGTTGAAAAATGCTTGCCCTGACAACTTCTCCAAAACTATTGGGCCAATTTCAACGTAAGTTTTCAGATATGATAACTACCCCCTGATGTTGTGCATCCAGATATTTTTTCCCAACCCTTTTTATGGAGTTATGGCCATTTCGTGAAAAATCCTTGTCCTGACAACTTCTCCTAATCAACTCGGCCAATTTCAAAGTTTACAAATATGATAATTACCCCATGATGTTGTGCATAAGGGTAGCATTTTTTTCATTCCTACCCTTTTTCAAAGGAGTTATGGTCATTTGTTTAAAAAAAAGACTTGTCTTCTAAACTGCTGGTCCGATTTTAATGAAAGTTTACATATATGGTAATTACCCCCTGATGTCGTGCATCAGGGTAGTATTTTTTTCATTTCGACCCTTTTTAAGGAGTTATGGCCATTTGTTTGAAATGTTTGTTCTGACAACTCTTCCTTAACTACTATGACGATTTCAGCAAAACTGGTTCATCTGGGCTAACACGATTTAGTTTGCAAGTATATTTTGCCATTGAGAGGGAGTACAGAAAGTATGTCAGTTACCTATACACTTAAATAAGTGTACAGCTCAGTGAATAAAGAAATCATTACTGGTGGGAGACTATGGTAGCTTTGCAATGCTTTACCTTACTTGTAGCCTTTAGCTTACAGTTCTGGTTTATACAGGAGCGGGGTATTAGTTAGCATTTGGCTTACAGTTCTAGTTGTTAAATGTTGTGAGGTCGCGTCACCGAGCATTACGAACTCCCTCCCTTGAAATAAAAGTTGCTGCCCGTTAATAAGTAGCTTACCATGTATTTATTTTTTTAATTTTCTAGTTATTAATTATAACCTGTTAGTTGAACTTAAAAAGTGATTCCGAGACAGAATAATTGTTTTCATTTGACAATAGAATTTTCCATTGGAAACATACATCGTTTGTTTAGTCATATGATTTTGTTTGTTGATAGTCACACCACACCATACATGTGCGAGCTGCAGTGTGTGTGGTGAATGAAATATAAGTGATATGAATAAGAATGTACGTTTATATAATTGGCTGATAAACGTTTATATAATTGGCTGATAATTATTTTATTCCGATAGCACCTGTCTAGATTTCATAATTACGAACATATTCGGTCTATATAACTGATACACATCTACCCCAAATAACGGCCAAGTTTGTAATGAGTGTGGTATTAAAACCCAGAAGAAAAAAATCAAACTTTTGGGAAGTCTCGGATCTAGAAAAATTAAGAAAGTCAATTCTAAACATTCTATTTGTTCCTATGTGATGCTGTGTGACCGAGAAAATATCCTAGAATTTGTTAAAAAAATGATTTTCATTTAGTTAATATATATTATTGTTTGACCGTCATCCATATCATTCCAATTTGTAAATGAACGTAATCCGTATCATACAGGGTCGTAATCCGTATCAGCATACATACCAACTGCATATTTTGATAAAAATATCGCTAAAACTTGTGTTTAGTTCAGACTATTCAATGTTAATTTGTTGATGAGTCATTGGCCAAGACATGTGTTGTGTAAAAGTAATTTAATTAAATAGTTATTACATTCAAATCTCCACAAAGCTGTATATAAACTGATGTCCGTATATATATATGATTATTCAGTCAAAACGAATTTAATCTAAATTTTTTTTTTATTGATATAGGCTAGCAGCTTAAGACATACATATAGCATATAGACTGAGTTACAATGATAAGTTTTCAGTATTTATACAAGAAAGCGCAAAAATACCTCTCACGTTCTTCCATCATGGGAGCATTTTACTCTTGCCGTAAGCCGTATTTGGTGCAAAACTAACTTTTTGCTCGGACGTAATCCAAACAGCGAGTATTATTGTGACGTAAGCGAAATAGAGAGTATCGGGATTACCCCCGTGGTATTTACTGTACCGTTATTTCGCTGCCTTGTGCACCAGATTTGGTGTCGTTGTGGTATTTGTAGTTTGTACAGTTGGGATTGTATTTGTAGACTTTTTATGTTTCGTCTAATTGCTGGCATCAGAGACGTATAATAATGTATTATACGTCTCTGCTGGCATGTGTTGTTTTTAGCTTTTCTGCTGAGACAAATCAAAAGCTTAGATTAGTCTGAGACTTATGATTTATCAGCATTTCTATTAAATTTATGGTAGTCAAATGTGTTGTGAACGTGTTTGGAGGCACGATTTCTAAAACGGTTCGTTTACGTTTCTTCCTCTGACAAGTTCTACTAAGTACTATCTGTAATTTATTTCCGACCAATCGCAGCCTCGGTAACAATTAGTAAAATTCGGTCATTCGCACAGAGAATGTGGGTCATGTGGACGTTGCTTTGACATGTGTAAACGAACGAATACACCGAAAATGTGACAACCTGGATGGAATTTACTGCTTCTGAACAGTTCATATACTGCAAAAAGTTAGTGAGAAGTGTGCTTACATTTGGATATCGTAACAATTGTTTGAAATAAGTCCTAACATGGTAATGTCGCCCGTCAGCATGGCCGATCGATTAGTCTACTTGGTCTAACGCCTAGCCCGTTGTCTTTGGCTAATTGTTTTATATTAGGCGACCAGCTTCATTATAGGTATCGTCTTTGGTTAACATTAATTGTCATCTTGAGACATATAACAATTGCATGCTCTGACCATGGTGTTTCTGTGAGTAGGCAAGTTCAGAATTCGAACATAAACAAACGGGGCTTTTGCACGTACTGTACAGTAGACCTCAATCTGCGCAACCTGTAAATATGTGAACAACTATGAAGAAGCGTCAACAGAAGCAATGTATAATGCTTACGAAGACGTCGACTACCATGAACCAATATGTTTTAGACTACACGAAATGGGCTTAACTTCTGGCTTGATTTCAGAGAGAGAAAACAGTTACTTTGCCAAATGTCTGGGTCAACTGAAAGTAGCTATGCCCAACTATTTTTTTTTAAACAAAAAGTAATTTATTTCTTGTCCTTTTCCTAGAGACTACCATAACCTGATTACAAAACAGCAATCAGAACCATGTTATCTTCAAAATTGGATTTTTACGAATTTTTTGAAATCGTGAAATTTCACAATTGTTTTTTAGCATTTTCCTGAAAACAATCAAAAAAGCGTACAAGGTCAATAACATGGTATATATGGGAGAATTTGTTTTCTCTTTTTTTACCACAATTTCAGAACCAATCTATTCTATTGTAAAATGAAAGATTTCCATGCTAAATATCACCCCTCACTCCGGAGATGATGCTAAAATGTTACTTCACAAAGAGTTACCTCCCCTTACAAAACACAATGAATGACATTAATAATCTCATTTAATTATATATATTGATGCACCAGTCTCAGTGGTAATTACACATCTTCTTTCTTATCGTTCGCCTTTACACTTGAATACCAGTCTCCTCAACAAATCTGGTGGTCTTCTGTGCTAAGGGCATCCACTGGTCCACATAGCTTTTCTTTGAGTGGTAACGTTAACACTCACTCACTCACTCACTTGCTGTTGGTGAATGCCATATCTTATCTCTCATGATCAGTGCCTGATGGATCTTCCATGACTGTAAGAGGTGTGCAGTATCCTGCTCTGCTTCTCCACAAGGACACATTGGAGATGAAACAACTTTCATGACTTTGTATAGATGTTGATTGAGTCTGTTGTGTCCTGTCGGAAGATGGTAGTTTGGTCAGATCTTGTTGGTGGTAATATAACTGTCTTGTTGCTGATGGGTGTTGAACAGAGATTTGATGATAGTCTTCATCTCTGTGTAGCACACTGGATTTTCTTCCTGTTATTGTTCAGTACCATTCTTTGCTAATTTATCGGCTTGTTCATTACCCCAAACTCCACAGTGAGAAGGAATCCACTGTAGAACTGTTGTCAGACTTTTGATGGTGTATAAAGCTTGTTCAAGTTGAGGTTAAGCTTGTCGTTTATCAAAGCTTGTAGCACAGAGAGGACATCAGTCAGGAATACTACTTGAGTTGTGTTATCAATTTTGTTTTTGATGCAGTGTGCAGCATGAATAAGGTCTTCTTCTTCAACTTAGTAGTTTGAACAATGTAGACCTGTTGGTATTGCTTCTGATTGTTGATCTCCGTTGGGGTACTTAATGTATATACCAGCCCCTCCTTTTATTGTGGCATAATTTGCTTACCCAGGAGTCTGAAGGGTACTTGTCTTTAAGCATACTCATTGTCATTACACATGATCTGATATGTTCTAGTCAGATAAATCATTAAAATAATATTTAAAAACAAAAAGTATTTGTACATGGTGTATGATCTGACAAGTTTTATTTATATAAACAATTAAAATGATATTGAAAAACAAAAGCATGTCATATCAATTAGATATGTTTAATGTAAACTATGTACAGCCCAACCATTGTTTAGTATTTGTATGTCAGACAACACTGAAACTCGAAATAAATTTAAATTTAGGTCTATTCAATTTCTATCTGTATCAGCGTATGTAAACTAAGTCAAGACTGAGTGACAGTAACTTAATTTAAAAGTTTAATCATTCAGAAACAAGTAAATAGTACCGAAATTTATACAAATATACATCATTTAATGTTTAAAATATATACAGAAAACAAAGAGAACAGATACCTTTACACGATAGGTAAACAACCGTTAATGCAATATCCTTCTAGCGAGTTTTGTCTGGTACAGGTGGGATTTGTTTACGTTTTCGAGGCGATCGCGAGGTGTCCGCCATATTGGATTTACCGTTATACTACCCCTTGGGATTTCAACAGCCTTTTTCATACCAAGAACGGTTTTGACAGATTGGCATATATATTTATTTTAAGGGATAATTACTGAACATTTGTATATAATTTTGATGGATGTACTCGGTTTTATAAGGAAATTGTCGCTTCTGCAATATTTCACAATCTCCGCTCCTTGCGTTTCCGCCATGATATTTGTAATATAGACTGTAGTAAAGTGACGAGGGATATCGAAGATAAAATTCCTACCATGTATCCATTTCTATAACATGGACAAGCACGATAAAATCACCGTTCTTCCGATGGTATAAAAGTGTGACGAAATTTTGGCGCGGCGCGAAAATTCAATTGGAGTTATCTCCCCTTAGCTTGGGCATAGCTACTGAAAGCCTTAGCGTTTGTTGGACCTGTCGTACAATGTAGCTCAGCTTTATACTATACAATATGTATATTCTTGTGAAAGTGCATACAAATTGCATCTTTGCATCTACCTGTTTGCTGGCAGTATATAGAACATCTAAAACCTGCTAATGATAATTACTATTTATGTTATGCGTTCACTTGCAAATTGCCTAGCTATTAAAGAGCTTAAGTGTGACCCCTATATCCTCCTGTGTTCAGTTTTCGACGGTCATCTGTTTTCGACGGTCGTTTATTTCCGGGTCGCACGCGCGCTTGCGGGTCATGTCAGGGGTGATCACAGAGGCTATGTTTTGACGCCAGCACACTTGCAACAATTCTCTTTTTTTTTAGGAAAATGATGATCTGTACTGTAAGTAACTTCTATTCTTACCACAACGTAGTGTTTAAACCCCGTTTTGCATAATTCCAAAATTACACCAAGTTTAACACCCTTAAAAACCCATGAAATTAGCCTGAAAGTGTTTGTGACTTCTCGTCTAATTTTTATGGTTTATAATAGCAAATGATACTTTGAATATTACATGTTAATAACTGTAGAGTGGGGCTCAAAGGAGTGTGCTAAAATTTCTTCATTTTCCTTGTTAAGAATCAGAGGTGCTAGTTTCAAATACTTTTTAGTCTGAAATCTGTATGCTAGATATTGAGTAAGGTGGTTTTATTGTTTTTTGTCACTTTGAATAATATTTCTGTTCATGTTAAAAACAAAATCAACTCTCTGTATAATTATATCAGGTGACCGTTAAGGCCCATGGGCCTCTTGTTTTCTGTCCTATTTTGCCACCGTACAGTGGAAAGCATGACCGTGGAATACTGATGACGTAGTACGCAAGCACACAAGTTAGGCAGTCGCCATGTTTGTTGACATTTTCTAGCGTTGTATTATCAAATATTATAATCAATCTTTTATAAAATTAGGGCAATAATAGTAAATGACTTAACTGGTAAGGCTTGGAATAAATTTATTTCACATGGTTGGTAAAAAGCGATTTTGCTGTTACACCGTCGAAAACCGATGACACCAGGGTATATATAGTTTGTTTGACTTTTGAGATCAGTAAATGGCACTAAACAGGAATTGTACAGTAATATTTTGTGAAATGGGCACCATTGCAATTCAAGTATGTTTTTGGAATTTAAAAAGTTATACAAAATCTTTAAAGGAAAGCATACAAATGTAAATAAAATAAAAAAGAGTTCTGTACTTATCACATTTTATTAGCTCACCTGTCCGAAGGGCAAGTGAGCTTATGTTATGGTGTGGCGTCCGTCGTCCGTCTGTCCGGCGTCAACTTTTTGCTTTAAACAACTTCTTTTCGGTAACCAAAAGGCCTAGGAAGATGATATTTGGCCAGTAGCATGCTGGGATCAAGGGCTAATAAGTTTGTTCAAATAAATGACCTTGACCCCCTTTCAAGGTCACTGGGGTCAGATGTCTTAAAATCTTCAAACAACTTCTTCTCAATAACCAAAAGGCCCAGGGTACTGATATTGGGCCTGTAGCATGCTGGGATGAAGGACTATCAAGTTTGTTCAACTGAATGACCTTGACCAACTTTCAAGGTCACAGGGGTCAAATGTCGTAAAATCTTCAAGCGACTTCTTTTCAATAAGCAAAAGGGCCAGGGTACTGAAATTGGGCCTGTAGCATGCTGGGATGAAGGATTACCAAGTTAGTTCAAATGAATGACCTTGACCAACTTTCAAAGGTCAAAGGGGTCAAATGTCATAAAATCTTCAAACGACTTCTTCTCAATAACCAAAAGGCCCAGGGTACTGATATTGGGCCTGTAGCATGCTGGGATGAAGGGCTACCAAGTTTGTTTAAATGAATGACATTGACCCACTTTCAAGGTCACTGGGGTCAGATGTCTTAAAATCTTCAAACAACTTCTTCTCAATAACCAAAAGGCCCAGGGTACTGATATTGGGCCTGTAGCATGCTGGGATGAAGGACTATCAAGTTTGTTCAACTGAATGACCTTGACCAACTTTCAAGGTCACAGGGGTCAAATGTCGTAAAATCTTCAAGCGACTTCTTTTCAATAAGCAAAAGGGCCAGGGTACTGAAATTGGGCCTGTAGCATGCTGGGATGAAGGACTACCATGTTAGTTCAAATGAATGACCTTGATCCACTTTCAACCTAATGTCCTTGTTCAACAATCAAGGTCAGAGGCGTCATATGTTTAAATCTTTTAATAGGTTCTTATGAAATCTTAAGATTACAAGTGTTAGATTAATAACAGGTGAGCGATGCAGGCCCATTGGGCCTCTTGTTAAAATCAAAACTACATGTGTTAAATTTCAAATGAAATAATTATATCTAAAAACTGTAAGGGCAGGTTGCTGCCCTTACTCCTATGTGCAGTGCTGACTTAAAACTGAAAAATACAGTAAAAACAACACAAATACTAGTACTGTGATAAAACGGTGGTTCAAATCTATACCTTCCAATGTTCCTGGTAAATGTATTAGAAATGATAAAAAGGATATTTTTACAGATTTCCAAGCAAAATTTCTACCTGATCATCTAACAACTCAATTCTTCGTTAAAATATCTGACTACTAATTGCTTGTCGATAAGTTCGGTAACATTATTCTTTGTATAAACATTTGTGAAATCAGTTATAGTACGTAAAAACAACTCGCGCTTGTCAGTGAGGAAACAGGAAATAGATTGTCTTCCTTTTGACAGAGCATGGAAAAGTCTAGAGAATTCAGAGTGACTTTGGTCATTTCTAATATACAAAAAGATTCTAGACGAAAACGGTCAAAATCGTAACCTGGCATGTGAAGTTGTTAAAGCGTGATAAGGGTAAAATTCCAAGTGTAACCTGACAAAATTTGGTCACTTGGCTGGTATGTATGTACCTTGTCAAATGTTAAGATTAATGTACATGTGTTATTCTTATGATCCACATGCATGCATGCATACACAACACACATGGAGGCACGTCCTTAACTGACCTTAGCTGTTAATATGATGTTAAACAAAACAAAATAAAGCCAAACCAGGACCAAACTTATGACCCATATCATACAACTTAAATATTTGATTTTATTATATATGTAGTATAATTGCCATTCCAGGTATGGGAAAACCGAGAGGGAAGAGAAGGACTGTGCTGCAATTGAGTGACAACAAGGACAGTTTTCTAGGTAAGAATGTTGCCTAACTTAAGGACAGATTTCACTGTACTTGTATACACTGAAAGAAAACATTAACAGTAATTAACTGGTGATATATGAAGGCAGTATTATACTCTATGTAACGGGGAAATCAGAGCTCAAAGGGGCTTCATGCATCAGCTGACAGAAGCTAAGTACATCTTTAGACTTCTTTTTCTTTAAGACATTAGCGGCATTCTGTAGTGATGTGTGCATATATATTCAAGTGTATAGTTGGTAACCTCTCTAAAATTTCAGTTTAACGTCTTGATAATATTATTAAAATGAATATATTTATTTTTACAGCACGATATGGCTATGGCCGACAAAACGAAGAAGATGAGGATTCAAGAGGTAAAGTTTCATGTGGGAAATTTCCCCCAATGTAATAAAATCAGAACTGTCAATCCCTAGACCAGCCATTATATATATATGTGAATGGTAAAATTTTAAGATCAGTTTTAATCTAGATACATTTCCTTCATTTTCTTTATTAGATCACTATTACCCGGATACTTGTAAAACTACAAACAAATTTGGAAATTTACTACAATAACTTTTCTGTGTCTTCAGGTGCTTTTGCAGATGGGGGATATGAAGATGATGAACAGGGGTCTGATGAGGAGCATGATGAAGGTTTGTAGAGAAACCATACGATAGCAGGAAATATATAAGTATATATCAGAAAATTTACAAAAAGAGTCGCAGAACAGTATCCTCCAGATGGTAAAGATCTATGCTGAGCAAGTGTAGATAATGAAAAAAAAGAGTTTTTCATTGTAAAAAGTCATGCTTTGTAAATTCTGTAATAACTATTGAACTGTTTAGGGTTAACAAGACAGATTTTACTATTGAATTGTTTAGGGTTAACGACACAGATTTTACTATTGAATTGTTTAGGGTTAACAAGACAGATTTTACTATTGAATTGTTTAAGGTTAACGACACAGATTTTACTGTTGAATGGTTTAGGGTTAACAAGACAGTTTTTAGCTCACCTGGCCCGAAGGGCCAAGTGAGCTTATGCCATGGTGCAGCGTCCGTCGTCCGTCCGGCGTCCGGCGTCAATATTTTACTTTAAACAACTTCTTCTTAATAACCAAAAGGCCTAGGGTGATGATATTTGGCCAGAAGCAAACTAGGATGAAGGGCTCCCAAGTTTGTTCAAATAAATGACCTTCACCTATTTTCAAGGTCACAGGGGTCAAATATGTTAAAAACCTTAAACAACTTCTTCTGAATAACCAAAATGCCCAGAGTGATGATTTTTGGCAAGTAACATGCTGGGATGAAGGGCTACCAAGTTTGTTCAAATGAATGACCTTTACTTATATTCAAGGTCACAGGGGTCAAATATGTTAAACACCTTTAAACAACTTCTTCTCAATAACCAAAAGGCCTATGATGATGCTATTTGGCCAGTAGCATGCTGTCATGAAGGGCTACCAAGTTGTTCGAATGAATGACCTTGACTTATATTCAAGGTCACATGGGTCAAATATGTTTAAAACCTTTAAACAACTTCTTCTGAATAACCAAGAGGCTTAGGATAATGATATTTGGCCAGTAGCATGCTGGGAAGAAGGTATACCAAGTTTGTTCAAATGAATGACCTTGACTTATATTCAAGGTCACAGGGGTCAAATATGTTAAAAACCTTTAAACAACTTCTTCTGAATAACTAAGAGGCCTAGGGTTAGGGTATTTCGCCATTAGCATGCTGGGATAAAGGGCTTCCTATTTTGTTCAAAAGAATGACCTTGACGTATATTCAAGGCCACAGGGGTCAAATATGTTAAAAACCTTAAAACAACTTCTTTTGAATAACTAAGAGGCATAGGGTTACGATATTTGGCCAGTAGCATGCTGTTATTAAGGGCTACCAAGTTTGTTCAAATGAATGACCTTCGTCCATTTTCAAGGTCACAGGGGTCACTTGTCTTAACAAATCTTTAAACAACTTCTTCTGAATAACTAAGAAGCCTAGGATAATGATATTTGGCCAGTAACATGCCAGGATGAAGGGCTACCAAGTTTGTTCAAATGAATGACCTTTACTTATTTTCAAGGTCACAGGGGTCAAATATGTTTAAAACCTTTAAACAACTTCTTTTGAATAACTAAGAGGCATAGGGTTA